TTGGAACGGTCATCCAACTCGGAATTGTAAATCCGGAACTCTGGCCTCTTTCTAGAGCTACGACCTGAAGATCACTGATGTCATCATGATTCAACCTTGTTTTTTCCCCCAGAGTTTCCAGTTGTCTTGAAAGCACTATAAATCCAGAGAATGCCAGACTTTGATGACAAAGTTTGATGACAAAATTTGCCCATGAAGGACCGCCGCACCACCATCCTGTTCAAGTGAGCACAGCACAACAAGATGAGTCCAAAAATGTCTTGTATGCTGCTGCATAAATTATGTAATATGCCAGGGAGATACAGTGGGGAAAAAAAGTATTTAGTCAGCCACCAATTGTGCAAGTTCTCCCACTTAAAAAGATGAAAGAGGCCTGTAATTTTCATCATAGGTACACGTCAACTATGACAGACAAAATGAGAAGAAAACAAAACCAGAAAATCACATTGTAGGATTTTTTATGAATTTATTTGCAAATTATGGTGGAAAATAAGTATTTGGTCAATAACAAAAGTTTCTCAATACTTTGTTATATACCCTTTGTTGGCAATGACACAGGTCAAACGTTTTCTGTAAGTCTTCACAAGGTTTTCACACACTGTTGCTGGTATTTTGGCCCATTCCTCCATGCAGATCTCCTCTAGAGCAGTGATGTTTTGGGGCTGTCGCTGGGCAACACAGACTTTCAACTCCCTCCAAAGATTTTCTATGGGGTTGAGATCTGGAGACTGGCTACTCCAGGACCTTGAAATGCTTCTTACGAAGCCACTCCTTCGTTGCCCGGGCGGTGTGTTTGGGATCATTGTCATGCTGAAAGACCCAGCCACGTTTCATCTTCAATGCCCTTGCTGATGGAAGGAGGTTTTCACTCAAAATCTCACGATACATGGCCCCATTCATTCTTTCCTTTACACGGATCAGTCGTCCTGGTCCCTTTGCAGAAAAACAGCCCCAAAGCATGATGTTTCCACCCCCATGCTTCACAGTAGGTATGGTGTTCTTTGGATGCAACTCAGCATTCTTTGTCCTCCAAACACGACGAGTTGAGTTTTTACCCAAAAGTTCTATTTTGGTTTCATCTGACCATATGCCATTCTCCCAATCCTCTTCTGGATCATCCAAATGCACTCTAGCAAACTTCAGACGGGCCTGGACATGTACTGGCTTAAGCAGGGGGACACGTCTGGCACTGCAGGATTTGAGTCCCTGGCGGCGTAGTGTGTTACTGATGGTAGGCTTTGTTACTTTGGTCCCAGCTCCCTGCAGGTCATTCACTAGGTCCCGCCGTGTGGTTCTGGGATTTTTGCTCACCGTTCTTGTGATCATTTTGACCACACGGGGTGAGATCTTGCGTGGAGCCCCAGATCGAGGGAGATTATCAGTAGTCTTGTATGTCTTCCATTTCCTAATAATTGCTCCCACAGTTGATTTCTTCAAACCAAGCTGCTTACCTATTGCAGATTCAGTCTTCCCAGCCTGGTGCAGGTCTACAATTTTGTTTCTGGTGTCCTTTGACAGCTCTTTGGTCTTGGCCATAGTGGAGTTTGGAGTGTGACTGTTTGAGGTTGTGGACAGGTGTCTTTTATACTGATAACAAGTTCAAACAGGTGCCATTAATACAGGTAACGAGTGGAGGACAGAGGAGCCTCTTAAAGAAGAAGTTACAGGTCTGTGAGAGCCAGAAATCTTGCTTGTTTGTAGGTGACCAAATACTTATTTTCCACCATAATTTGCAAATAAATTCATAAAAAAATCCTACAATGTGATTTTCTGGATTTTCCCCCCTCAATTTGTCTGTCATAGTTGACGTGTACCTATGATGAAAATTACAGGCCTCTCTCATCTTTTTAAGTGGGAGAACTTGCACAATTGGTGGCTGACTAAATACTTTTTTCCCCCACTGTATGTATACTGTAGCTAAGAAAGTAATTATAAGTGTTTGTTGTGTAGTAAGCTGTTAGTAGCCCATGTGCCTCAACCTAATAATTTGGTCTATTTTCCCCTCTTAATTTTGCCTACTGTTCTGACTTGGTGGTGCACATGTAGCCTATAACCTATTTTAGAGAAATGTAATTATCGAATATTGTAAAAGCTTTCATTGTCTGCTTATATGCCCCCTTTATTTATCCTACGGTTCTGACTTGGTGTTCAGGGAGAACACTAAGAACGGCCCATGTTCTGAATTCTGTCGCTGTACATTTCAAAAGTGCTGAACAAATAGCTATATTCACTACGTCCGTCCTAGCTCGCTCATTAACGTCTTAATCGAAATTACGGATTGCCTTTCATATGCTTGTCATCCCCTTATGCCATAGTTTGTACATCTCAATTGTCAGTATGTTTTTTTTAAAGGCAGTAAATGAGGCTGGATGAACTGTTTCGCTGCCAGACAAGACTCCGCTGATAGCCAGGTGTAGCAGTGGTAAGGTGTTGGGACTGCTGTTGGGACTCTGCTGTTGGGACAGCTTTATGTAGGCCCTAACAGTTTGTGGGCACTGTTTGTCACCGTTCTAGTGCAGTTAATGTATTGTTTAGTGTTGTGTTGTGTAGTGGCTTTGCTGGCATGCATCCTACTTTTTTTTTATTTCTTTGCCCCACCAAGATTTACATGCTAAAATCGCCACTGCTCTCTCTCTTTACTTTGTGTTTCTCACTCAAACACCCACATGGGCAGCTACACACAGCCCCCGAGCGCCGCCCCCCTTCCAATACAACTGTTGGATTTTCAAATCCAAACAACGAGAGGTTTCAACCCACCAGGTTTGAGAGAACCAATCAAAGCTCAAGCCACCTTCTGTGCGAAAACTGCACTAACGGGCTCCTGTCCTGTCCAGACCAGTGTGTCACAGCTCTCCCTCGCATCAGCCAGACTACATTACTGCAACATTAGGATAACACCTGCTTATTGTTTTCTAAAAGGCCATTGGTCCTTAGCTCCTCCCCTAATTCCTGGTAAATTCCTGGACATTTTTCTAACTTCCTGTTATTCTGTCTCTCCTGTGAGTAATTTCCTGTCCACCTGATGGTCAGAGATACACGATGGAATGTCCAGGGGGTCTGGGTCAAAGGTCAGGGGCTCACTGAGGCAGAAAGGCTTCCTTTAGTACACCGCTCAGCCTCTGTTATTCTTTAAAAGCAACCATCTCCCCCTTCCTTTATATTAATCTGTCTCCCTTATTCCCTGTAATTTAAATGTTCCACCTGATCACATTTCACACTGTCCAACCGTGTCAAATCTAACACAACAACATCATAATAGAATGACAGACAGGGTTCTCCTCCGAGCTGACCCAGAGTTTCAGGCCATACATTATAAGGTCTGTATATCAATTACATACATACAATGAACATTCACACACTAGGAGCCGAAGTCACAAAAAGAGTAACAGCAAAACAGACATAAGGCTATACAATTCATATGAAAGGACCATAGAAGGTCAGGATGGATCAAGAGATGGGCACTGACAGACTGATCTTGAGACTGGCACATCACATAGAGTGCGGAATCAAATGACCACTTCCTGATTACTCAGAATGCATGTCTAATCCTGGTGAAGGGAGGTGTCCATTTGGTGGTGAACCCTTTTAAATGCTACTGGAATAAAACATCCTGCCTGCCAGCAACATGATCTGAGTGACTCACTTAGAACCAGTAATGGGTCTAGCCAGTAGATATTAGACAGAGGACTCTGTGCTCAGTCACTGGGGTATAAATGACAGGGAAGGGAAGAGGAGTTATAAATGTTGTGAAGGAGAGTCCCATTTACAAGCCATGAGGTGGCTCACTGATAGATGATGTTAATGACCGGCAATGAATGGGCTGTGGTAAGGGGTGACTGGATTCAAATATCTCGTGTCCCCTTCACTTCAAGTACCGCTGTCCCATTCCTATGACCTCATCAATCCAACCCAGCCCCAACCTGTGTCCATTGGCCAATACACTGATGACATCATCAGTCAGACCAGAATACCAGCTGTGATTCCAGACACCAGCAAATTCCTCTATGTTCTCGTAGCGAGTTACAGACTGGACTTCAACACCTTTCAGTCTGTTCTCTGGTCTGGCTGACTCACACTGTCCTGAATCCTGATTGTCTGCCTGTGCTGCTGCAGTGTTCTACGCATACATGGGCTATTCGATGGGCGTGCTGGATCAATGATCTAGCTGTGCCCTAGAATCTTCAATCCAGCGTCCTTCCTAGACCGCCAATCCACCGAGCCCACCTGTGTCCGTGGCCAATTGGACACAGCAGTCAGTCCAGAATAGGGAGGTGATTCAGACCGGCAATTGCTCAGTTGGTAGAGTCATGGCTTCAATTCAGGTTGTGGTTTGATTCCACGTTGAACCGTATAATAGTTCCTCCCTGTAGCTGCTCGGGTAGGTCTGCTAAAGACATACATGAAGTTCTGTGTGGTTATGGAATTGGTGTTCTGAATGGAATGTGATTGTGTTCCCACTGAGGCCGCAGGTCCTGGTTCTGGAATGTTCTGGAATGTTCATCGTCACTTCTGTTGGAACTGGAAGCCACTGATGGAGAGGCCAACATGAGTGGGACCTAATCACATCCCAATATCAGTATTTATCAGTGAACTCCATGTGGCTTAACCCTCACTCACAGGTTGAATAGCTGGGGAGAGATGTTAGAGACACACTGGAGCCATGTCACCTCGTAACCATACATGACAGTATGTTGACATGGTGACTTCAGATTGCAAAAATACCTCTGCACTGGAGTAGGGTCTGGTGTCACCATGGTGACAAGGGGTAAGTGATACACATGTCATCCACTCTGAACACACTTCCAGTCTGTGTATGACTCTTGGTATCACAACTGGCAGACGAATGCCCCATTTCACTCATCAGCTTTTTTAATGATGCTAGTTTCAACACTATGTTCTGTAGGTTCTATAGCCTACACAGTGTGAGCACAAACACCACACTTTCCTCTTCAGCTTTATACTTTTCACACAAGATCAGATCAAATGTAAAATATTTATTTGATTTGTTTTACAAAAATGTCTGTTCATACTAGTTCTTGTTTTCATGTTCAAATAAATAGTCTTAAATCCTTCCGTACATATGATGTCCCCGCCTTCAAGTCTGTGAGTGGCTGCGGTCTTCTGATTGACATGACAGTCCAATCAGCATCCAGGACTGAGTGGTCACTTAACTATGAGGAAATTGATGAGGGCGGTCCTAGGGGACAGAATGGCCTTCTTGATGGTCCTGTCTCCTAGGAGACGCTGTCCCAGCTCGCTCCCCAGAACCAGAGCCCGTACCTGCTCCGTATCCTGGGCCACCTGTCGAGGCACCAACACCGTCCCACACACCTTGTTGTTGATCTGAGAGGAAAGGAGAAAGGGAGAGATGGAGCGAGAAATTGAGAAATGGAAGGGAGGAGGAGAGAAGAAAACCCAAAAGGTTAAGAGTAAAAACCTGAATACTTTGACCTCCATCCCATGGCTAAAATACTCTACATTGCTAGTTAGCATTGAGTGACAGCAAACTTAGGTCCAGACATATTAAATAATGTACACTGACTGAGACAACTCTCAGTGGAGGCTGTGGCTGCATCCAAAAGCTCTCTAATTACATCAGGGGCTACAGAACATGCATATGCCATTCCTCCGCTCCTTTCAGTAAACTGTGTGTGTAAACTGAGCTGTCTAAAAACAGCCAGCTTGTGGTGAAAATGGGCTGGGCAGTCAGATCCTCTACAGCTGAGAAGGAGGAACCTTTATTCCTCATTTCCAGTCTTTGTATGTTTGTGTATCAGTGTGTGTGTCTGTGGGTCAAGTCTAAGCTTTCTCCCAATTATAAGTTTGTGTATTATGTGTGTGTGTGTGTATGTATGTACGGTATCTATTTGTGTGTGTTAAGATACGCTCATATTAGTTAGTGCATGTGTGCACGTGTGTGTGTGTGTGCGTGTGTGTGTGTGTTGGCCTGCTCTGTGGGACTAACCCAGGACTCAGTCTGTCATTAGAGTCCCAGTGAGAGTGAGGTTAGCACCGCTAGGCTGTGGAAACACACATCAAGGCCTCAGACCAGAGCCCAACCAACACCAGCATCATCATCATACATCATACAGGTGCCAAAGGGTCAATGGGAGAAATGGTTTATGTGTGTGTTACTGTGTCTGTGTGTGGGGGATGATCGTGTACCGTGGAAAGGCAAACGGTTGTGTTTCCTTAATGTGTGTTAATGTGTTTCCTTAATGTATGGTTGAAAGGATTACAGGTCCCTCATAGGACAGGCCACGAGAGGAGGAAAACATCTACTTCAGATGAGCGCAGTCTTTAGCTGGCTATGATCCATTATCGTAGTCAATGTTTGGAGGTGTGTGTGTGTGTGGACTCTGATTCCCCCCAGCAGGGATCTCTCAGAGATATTGATATTTGAGCAGCTGACTCTGTGACCCCGCCCACCACAGCTGGACTGCCTGCTGAATGCCTAGGCACCCTTGGCTGCGTGCACACACGAGCTAACGCATGCACACACGTGTACACACTTTCCCTCTCAAGCCATATAATCATAGGTTCTGTGTAAAGAGAGTGAGTGCATGAATGGGGCTACAGCTGTTTTGGTTCAAGGGAGTGTGAGTGCAATTTTGAGTATATACAAGAGTATGCCTGTGTGTGTGTGGGAGTGTAATTTTCTTTCAGTCTGTATAATTTTCTGTAGGGGCGTGTGTGCCTTGGCATGTGTATGGGCATGTGTGTGAGTGACAGGGTAGTGAGTGTGTGAGAGGTGTGTGTGTCAAATCAGATCAGCAGATGTTAAAGCAGGTGCAGTGAAATGCTTGTGTTTCTAGCTCCAGCAGTGCAGTAAGTGTCTAACAGTACAACACTAACACACAAACCCTCCAAAAAGAAGAAAGGAGCAATATCACAACGAGCAATGTCAGAGTCCGGAATATAAATATGTGGTGTGTATAGACAGTTTGAACAATATACAATGTATAAGTAGGAAGGTATGTACAGCAGTAGTTATATAGGATGAGCTATGTGGAGAATACAGTATGTCCCTATAAAGTAAGTAATCAATTAGCTTAATTTCTCAGCGATCAAAATAAATGATTTCAGAACAATAAACATTATATGAACATTATTAAAGTGACCAGTGTTCAATGACTATGCACTGTACATAGGGCAGCAGTCTCTAAGGTGTAGAGTACCGGGAGGTAGTGTGTGTGTGTGACAGCCTCACCCGTACAGCCAGCTCCAGGGTATCAGGGGTCTCCAGGTACTGGGGGTCTGGGGTGGGCCAGGGCTGCTGCAGCACGTCTCCTCCGCGGGAGAGGAGAGGGCTCAGGGGGTTCCTAACTTGGCTCAGCCCTGAATGGAGGAGAAGACAACAAGTCACAAACTAGAAATCAACCAATCACATTTGATTTATATAGCCCTTTATAGTACTTTACAGACACCCAGCCTAGACGATCCAAGCGTCAGCATCAGCCATTACACAACTTCACCACTGCAATCTCTATGGTCATGCCTCATGTGATGGGTGACATTCACACTTTTGAAAACTCTATGGAGCATTACAGGAAAGCTGTCAAGAGCTCAGCACAGATCGAGGATTAACAACAGTCCTTCTGTTTGTCCACCCACCGCCTCCTGATGCTAATGTGGGGGTGACCCACAGGGGGCTTCCAGGAAGGATATTAACTTACTCTAGTCCTTTCTGTCTATGAGGGAGAGATAAAGAGAGAGAAAGCGAGCGAGCGAGAACCACACACACACAGTTTATCCTGTCCATGCTCATCTCTCAGATTCCCTGACTGTGGCTATCAGCTGGAGGATGTTGCCTTTTCCTGCCTGTTTCCCAAAAAGCCTCACTCCTCCCTGCCCCTACTCCCGGTCCCAGCCCCCCACTCCTCCCAGCCCCCAGTCCTCCCAACCCCCTACTCCCAGCCCCTACTCCCAGCCCCCTAGCCCCTACTCCCAGCCCCCAGTCCACTAGCCCCTACTCCCAGCCCCCCAGTCCTCCCAGCCCCTAGTCTACTAGCCCCTACTCCCAGCCCCCCAGTCCTCCTAGCCCCCTAGCCCCTACTCAAGCGTCCACTAGCCCACTAGACACCTCACTCCCAGCCCCCAGTCCACTAGCCCCTATTCCCGGCCCCAGTCCACTAGCCCCTACTCCTAGCCCCCTAGCCCTACTCCAAGCCCCCAGTCCTTCCAGCACCCAGTCCCCTAGCCCCTACTCCCAGCCCCCCAGTCCTCCCAGCCCCAGATCACCAGTCCTACTCCCAGCCCCTATTTCCAGCCCCTCAGTAGAGGGCTTGTTTCTGTGTGTTTGACAATAGGGGGATGTTCTACTGGACAGTGCGGGGGCACACTTCCTCTTCTGGCCATTTTTATACCATCAGGTCACATGGTCAACCTTTGTCCTGACTCAGCATCAGTTACATTGTTCATGTGATAGGGCTGGGATTCTCAGTTTGGGTCAGGGGATATTTAGTCACAATCACATTCTGGAGGAGATTTGTGTGAAACTATTGTATACTGAACTCCTAGACCTTGACTCTGCATAGGTTTTCATGTCAATTTTGGTTAATCAACTCAGATTCTTGAAGTATCCACATGGGTACACCACACACAAACAAATGATCTCATTGGACTGTGATGACATCACCAGGGCGTTGCAGAGCGTTTTGTGTGTTAGATAAGAGGCACCATCAACATGACACCGTGAGGTAACTTCCTGTTGGGTTCTTTCCAAACCCACATCATCATTCCAGACAGTCCTCTCATCTCCTCTCCAGTCGGTCTCTGTCTCACTAGGAGTGTAGTAGACTATTCGTTTTCCCACTCTGGGATGGGATCATCATAGCAACACTCACATGACAAAATATCATGTGACACATTAATCTTTTGATGAAAAACTAATATCATTCATATTATTGTCCATTATTTATTTATTCATTCATTCCCTTCCTCAATGTGTGTGTGAAGCCCACCTGCCCACAGTTCGGAGGCCAGGTGTGGGGCCATGGGAGCGGTCATCACACACAGAGTGGCCAGAGCTTCCTCAAACTCCACACTGTGCAGCAGCACGCGAGGCGACACGTTCTGAGAGGGACAGAGAAAGATGTCAGAGGTCAGATCGAACGCACACACACACACACACACACACACACACACACACACACACACACACACAGTGTCCACTCACAGAGAGTGTGTTGGTGAGTCCCATGAGTCGAGAAATGGCTGCATTCAGGAGGAAGTCCTCTGTGAAGTGACCTGTGACCTGGAAACACAAGACAAGTTGGTCACAGTGGCATCATATCCAGCCATACTGTCTCTCTCTCTGTGTGTGTCTCTCTCTCTCTCTCACTGACTGACTGATCAACCGCCTGAATGAACAACCCACTCTTCTACAAAGCTTTAACTATCACACACTCTGCTCTCACTCTCTCCCTCTCTCCTTTCTCCTCCAATGCTTCAGTAAAACAATGTTTCCATATGGTAAGGGATAGTATCAGGGAGGACCTCCCAGCTGCCTGTGATGGTTCATGGTGATGAATGGAAAACAACAATAGGACCAGAGGATAAAAGCTTGTTCTCCATGTCATCACTATACATGGTTCTGATAACTGGTTGGCTCACAATGTGTTTAAAAACAAGAAGGCTGTGCATGTGAACATTCCACAGCTAAGTGGCAGGTAGCTTAGTGGGTAAGAGCGTTGTGCCAGTAACCGAAAGGTTGCTGGTTCTAATCCCCGAGCCAACTAGGTGAAAAATCTGTCGATGTGCCCTTGAGCAAGGCACTTAACCCTAATTGCTCCTGTAAGTCGCTCTGGATAATGCCCTCTGTCTGCTAAATGACGTAAATGTAAATGTTCTGGGAAGGAGAACCCTTTTGGGACGGGCTTTTGGGAGGAGGTCAAAGACAGAGGGCAGATCAAAGGATGGCCGTGGCTTTGGGGGGGGGGGGGGGGGGGCCTTAGGGTGGGCCGGGCCATACACACGCAAACACGCACAGAGCCCTTTAACAGCACAGACTATGAAGGGCGAGAAGAGAATCAAACCCCACCGACCGCACTGAGGGAGTCGGAACAGATGCCAGCTATTTATAAAGTGTGAAAACGTCACTATTGGATTTCAAATCAATTTCCATTCTCCTTATACCCGCTAGGCTGCTCTGGGCTACCAGACCTGACTGTGGTCTCAGGTTACCATATAGATCCCAGGATGAAATGACAACAGCAGCTTCTCCTGTTATGCAACGCTGAGGCTAAAATGCATAGTATGGGCGAAGCCTAGAATTCCTCATGGAATACGATAAGGTGCTATAGTTAACACAGTGTCATCTTCACACTTCAAGTGAAACCTGCAGCACTAATTGAACATTTGATGACAAGCTCTGCAGCGGGAACATAAGAGAGAGACTAATACTGGTATGACAAATACCCATTTCAGATGTCACACATAAGAAGACTTGGATGATACAAATATTCAATGCATTTACATATTCAGGTATTAGGTCTGAGTATGACAAGGCAGTTTCAGTCATCTACAGTGACTGCAGTTAGTGACACCTACTGGTAAAGGTGGGTAGTACAACCCTAACAAGAGAATAATGAAACCACGACTTCTCTGTGTTTAGGAATGTTCAGTAACATTCTGAGGGTGTTGATATGTAGTATGGACATTCTACCTGTTCCACAGCATAGTTCTTGTTCTCCCAGATTTTCCTGGCCTCTGCCTGCTCCTTCCTCTTCAGCAACAAGGTGTTGGGGACATCCCCGTCCTGCCGAGCCCCCCTCAGCTTGGTCACCAGCCCCCACAGACGAGACTGCCACCGCAGCACCCCGGGCAGAGCGTCCGCTGAGGGGACAACACACATACACATTACACCACAGACAAGACTGGCAAAACACATGATAAACATCAGTACTGGACCAATAAAACCTTTTAATTAAACTCCCTCACAACACACAGTAATTTGATTGCAAAATAAATAATGCTACGCCACACAGTCTATTGTTGGTTGGGTAGAGGTGGGGGTTGGGGGTCACAGGGTGTGTGTAACTCACTCTTGACGTCCCAGAGGATGTCCTGTTCAGGGGGAGCAGCGTAGAGGATGTAAAGGCGGACAGTGTCGATGCCATACTGTTGCACCACCTCCTGAGGGTCCAGGCCGTTGTGTTTCGACTTGGACATCTTCTCCCACGTCACCTGCAGCCCGGCCTTGCTACCCACCAGCACCGGCTCCTCACCTGACACAGGGGACAAGGCAATGGTTAGCACTGGACACCTCTATATATCTCCAGCAGACTGGTCCTGTCTGAAATGGCACTCTATTACTACTTTTGTAGTGCACAATATAGGGTGCCATTGCAGATTTGCCTGCAGGTATATGTAAAAAGCAAATACTGACAGTAGAAGAAAAATAGTACAAATAAAAAAACTAAGCCACTTAAAAAAAATAAGGCCTCCTGACAAACAGACAGACAGGAACGATCTTTCAGTAAATTCCTTGATCAGTCTGTTTACTGAGGGCTAGAACACATCGGTGTGTGTGTGTCCAGTGTGGAAGCTCTCAGACAGAGTGATATAAAGCCTCACCTCTATGAACGGAGCCAGTGTCCGTGTTTACCCAGTTGCCAAGCAACGGGAAGAGAAAAGGTACTAAAAAATCCAGAAAAACAGTCAGAGAAAGAGAACGAAAATAAGAAAAATATGGCTTTTAACCCTCTAGAGTCTAAGACCTTTCTAAGCTGGGGGGGGGGGGTTCTAAGCTAACATATGGAATTGTTTTAAGATGCTCATACCAAGGATCATTTAGCTATTTGATTTGGAATTTTAAGACCCCTTAAGGTATAAAAAAATTAAATAATAATAATAATAATAATAATTGGGATGTAACATTGAATTTGGCATTACTGCTATTAGCCAATAGAAACGCATTGAATAACAGATTCACTACATGGAAAAAGAGATAGTCCCCCCCCCAAAAATAAAAAAGGAAGTTTGTTTTCAAGTGTCTGTTCTATATCTGTGACATATAAGAAAGATCAGGAAAGGAAATTATTTTGTAATTGTTTTTACATGTATTTATCCCCTTATTTTAGGCACTAAAATATTTCCATATACTGTATACTTTCATACATTTTTTAAAACTGGTACCGGGGACCTTCAGACAAGTCTTGTGAGGCTTGTGAGTGTCTTAGAGCAAAATGAAGAACACCACCGTGTTCCTGAGAGTCTCATCATAGAGTGGTCATAATAGTTTGTAGGCCAAACCGTTCAGACGCTACAGACGTTGTCGTGAGAAGACCGATTGTCGGGATGTCTCATGGTCTGACAAACACCTCTCTAGCTCTGCCACCTTCCACTGCAGATGCGGAAGGGCAATTTCAGCAGATGCGGTGGATTGCTATGCAAAAAAACAGAAATCTCTAGCTTAAACAGATGGATTTTGATGGGGATTTGTTTCCGCGGGGACGCAGAAATTATAGGCTAAGGGTTAAGGTGGTCCTCCTCAATTCTTTCTTATAGGACCTGACCAGGAAAAACTTCTGCGCAAACCTCAGGAAGCCATCTGGGAGGGATGTCTACTAACTCGAACCTGTGAATGCTGGCGTGTGAAGTCTCCACCCTGCTGTGCCCACCTGTGAAGTCGATATCGTCTCTCTTCAGGTACTGTCCGCTGTCCGCAGCTCTAAACGTCTGGCCCTTGATGAGGCCCTGCACCAGCAGCTTCTTGAAAGGCTCCCTGGAGTGGACATTCAAAGAGCTTACTTCATTTTGCCGTTTTTAACATTTTTCTTTCTGCAGGGGATAATTATACAAACGTTACAAAGACGTTTTGGCAATGGTGCCTTCTTCAGTTTTCAATGTCAATGGGAGACTAAGTGAAAATTCGACTTCATTGGAAGTTAGGATTCACCCCTAAGTGGGTACAACATTTTGGGACAATAGTTCAATTGATATAGACTAGTGAACAATAGTTGCTGTACCTGTGTTCCACTAAGCCCTGATCCCTACAGAAATGACTGAGGAAGCGTGCGTAGTACAGGTGCATAACAGCATGCTCCTTCCCCCCAATGTACACGTCCACAGGAAGCCAGTGGTCTGCCAGGGAGCGCTCAAAAGGCCTGGGGTGGAGAGAGGGGGGCACAAGTTAGTTTGAGTGAAGTAAACTGTTATCACTCCAATTTATATTTGGTGTTTTCTGTCTATGAACAATTAGTTCTTAAAAAATAAATAAATACAGTATCGTGAGAGAATAATAATCATGGGAAGGAATGCACCAATATAACAAGTAGCTCAACTATAGAAGCTGTTATAGTAAATATGACTACATCATGTGTAAGGTGTCTGGTCTTTGATATTATGTGTAGATATATCCTCTAGGTGGCAGCCTGGGCCTTATGCAGGCTAGCATAGTTAGCTACTATAATAGCATCTATCCCACCAGTCAGACCAGGGGCATCCTCCTGAAGGCACACACACACGCATGCATACACACACACGCATGCATACACACACACACGTATGCATACACACACACACACACACAAACAAAAATGTATATCCTGATAATGTGTATTCAGAGCTCAGAGAGGAGAGGAAAGGTGAGGTGAGATAACCCTCCCTCTCAGATAGATCGTTCAGATAGGAATGGTCTGGTTGTAAATCTGACCAAGTCACCAGACAACAATGAAGAAGAGGATGGAAGACGTTAGTTTGGCTGGCTGGGAAAACACTGTACTTCGGCTCAAAACTCCCAATGCTCCTTACATAGTGTTATATCACTGTGTGTGTGTGTCACCTTACACAGTACACACAGTCCTCTCTGCCAGTGGATGATGTCTCAGGATAATTGAACTGGCTAAACGAGTTAGACTCACTGGGCAGAAAATGACTTACCCTCTCTCTGTGTGCTGGCGTCAGGCCAAAAACACATGCACATGCACACCCGCGCACACACAAATACAAACACACTAACCTCTCGTTGGCCCCCACCCTACCAAAACCCCAGCCCAGGCCACAGCAAGCCAACAGGATGCTCAAACAGTTTAATTGCTTTTTCAGTTACAGCATAATCTGTCCAGCTAAGAAATAAAAGAGGGAGAGGCCAGCACCCTCTTAAAGCAGCTTTACAGCAGGGTAAATCCATTTGAATTCAATCCCTTTTTGACAGCATCCATTTTGCTTTAAACAAATCTTTCCATACATGTTTGCCCGGCACAGAAGTGGTCAGAAAGTGACTTTTTGGACCTGAATGCCAAAACAGGTGCTCAAAGTTGACCCATTTTGCATACCCCACCATACCATGAGACATCCATGTCTTCATCACTGGAAAAGATAAATGGTTGAGTTTGATATAATGTAAAAGCTTACAAACTGTTGTCAAACTATTTTATTATTTCTTGAAAAAATAATCTGTTTTTTAATTATGTCATTTTTAAACCTTTAAGTAAATTATCTAAAAACATGTAAACTCAGATGTTTTTTCATATTCACATATGTTGTAGCTCAGAGCATATTTCAAATCATCTGAGGTTTTTGTGTTGTGCCCACCATCGGTTGAGACACAACATACTCTTGAATACAGGGTGGATTTAATTTCAATCATAGAAATAGAATTCCTAGAATGGACCAATTTCTTCAGACCACTGCAATGTAACTGGTACACCATTGAAAATGAAATTGAATTGACATTTTAACTTTAATTACTACCACAAAGATGACCGCCCATTTTAGTACATTTATCAGCCAAAACATGACACCCACCCTGTATTCAAGAGCATGTTGTGTCTCAACGGATGGAGGGCACAACACAAAAACTTTAGATGATGTCAAATAAGCTACAACATATGCGAATATGAAAAAAATGACAATTCTAATTGAAAAACATTTTTTCCATAAATTATAAAATAGTTTGACAACCCTGTTTCTAAGCTTTTAAATTATATCAATCCCAACCGTTTATCTTCTCCAGTGATGAAGACTTGGATGTCTCATGGTATGGTGGGGTATGCAAAACCGGTCAACTTTGAGCACCTTAATCTCTTGAATGTTTTGGCATTCAGGTCCAAAAAGTCTGTCTGAGCACTTCTATGTATGGAAGGTTTGGTTCGAATCAAAACGTGTGCTGTCAAAAAGTGATTGAATTGAAATGGATTTACCCAGCAAGGTCAGTGGAGGAGGGACAAGTCCTGCCATTGGGAAATGAATATATTTCGTTAAAGCTCTGGGTATTGCCACAGCCCCAGCAGCTAACGGCCAGGAGTTTATAATCTCCATCAGCAGGGAATACAAGTTAACGGTGTGTGTGCGTGTTTGCGTGTGTATGAAATGTACTGTTTGAGAGGAAGTGTAAAATGGTGTGCTGATGTGTGAGAGGAAAAAACATTTGTCAGTGATTAAATAGACAATGCATATTACATTTGTAATGTTTGTCTAGATTCTCTTTGTCTACAAAACAGTTGGAACATCACTGGTGGAGAGTAGATTACCTAAGATGACTTTTGTCTCTACTGCTGTTTCATTTTGGAACAGTCCCCAAAAATATAGTCTCTAATCTTTCCTTTTAAATCAATCAGTACAAGGTCCTACAACACTCTCCCACTCGCTACCCCTCTTTCATGTTGTAGGACCTGGTACTGACTGATTTAAAAGGAGACATTATATTTTGGGGGGGATAGGAACATAGATAGATAAGACAAACAGAGAGAGATACTACAGACAGACGAAGAGAGATACTACAGACAGAGAAAATCCCAGGTCACTTGTCTTGGTTGTGGGGGTCAGTGTATCTCACCTGTCTTGGTTGTGGGGGTCAGTGTATCACACCTGTCTTGGTTGTGGGAGTCAGTGTATCTCACCTGTCTTGGTTGTGGGGGTCAGTGTATCACACCTGTCTTGGTTGTGGGGGTCAGTGTATCACACCTGTCTTGGTTGTGGGAGTCAGTGTATCTCACCTGTCTTGGTTGTGGGGGTCAGTGTATCACACCTGTCTTGGTTGTGGGGGTCAGTGTATCTCACTTGTCTTGGTTGTGGGGGTCAGTGTATCTCACTTGTCTTGGTTGTGGGAGTCAGTGTATCTCACCTGTCTTGGTTGTGGGGGTCAGTGTATCTCACCTGTCTTGGTTGTGGGGTTCAGTGTATCACACCTGTCTTGGTTGTGGGGGTCAGTGTATCACACCTGTCTTGGTTGTGGGGGTCAGTGTATCTCACCTGTCTTGGTTGTGGGGGTCAGTGTATCACACCTGTCTTGGTTGTGGGGGTCAGTGTATCACACCTGTCTTGGTTGTGGGGGTCAGTGTATCTCACCTGTCTTGGTTGTGGGGGTCAGTGTATCACACCTGTCTTGGTTGTGGGGGTCAGTGTATCTCACTTGTCTTGGTTGTGGGGGTCAGTGTATCTCACTTGTCTTGGTTGTGGGGGTCAGTGTATCTCACTTGTCTTGGTTGTGGGGGTCAGTGTATCTCACCTGTCTTGGTTGTGGGAGTCAGTGTATCTCACCTGTCTTGGTTGTGGGGGTCAGTGTATCTCACCTGTCTTGGTTGTGGGGGTCAGTGTATCTCACCTGTCTTGGTTGTGGGGGTCAGTGTATCACACCTGTCTTGGTTGTGGGGGTCAGTGTATCACACCTGTCTTGGTTGTGGGGGTCAGTGTATCTCACCTGTCTTGGTTGTGGGGGTCAGTGTATCTGAAATAGTACCAGGATGAGTCCACAAATGTGTCCATGGTGTCGGTCTCCCTTCTGGCCGGCCTTTTACACCTGACAAGACAACAGGAGAGAGAGGCCAAATAGAATCAGAACAAACTTTATTTAAAGTGCATTTAAACACTGCAACAAATGTAACAGTTAGCGCTTTAACCTAATTTCCACAGGAGGGAGTTGGCGCTGGCAGGAGATATGACTCCAAATGTCAATAACAGTATAATGATTGAATATGACACGGCTCAAGTCTTGGTGGATATTTGTCATGTAGCTAGCTATCTGGTTTGAATCACCGTTTCTTATTCATAGTGGCACATGAAATAGGTAAGTGCGCAGTTATTTTAGAAATGAAACGTCTCCTCCATTGTCCTATTGTGAAATGACTTTGTTAGTTTAGTTTGTAGGCATAAAGTGTCCAGAGGACTGGCCTGTGTAGTGTGTATCTAATGTGAGCTGGAACCATCTGTCTGTGGAGGTCATGTCCCCTGGAGATGCCACAGTCAGGCTGGAACCACTACACTACACAGCCATCAGAGCCCTGCTCCTGTGCTCTGACTAAATAGCACTGCCAGAGGGACACAAAACCGGCCAGCACCATGTCAGCTTGGTGGGTGGGTGTGTGTATGCGCCAGCTTGGTGTGTGTGTGTGTGTGTGTGCGCGCGTCTGTTGGAAGTAATATCCCAGGCCCTTTTCATCCAATCCAAACAGAGCTCTCTGTACACACTGCTCATCTGTCAGCCTCACTGAGAGAGCAACACAGGACACTGGCAAATGCGATGACTTTCAACATGCACACTGGAACTGAGAATGTCTGCCTCTCACTGTTTAATGAGTCTCCATAGAATACAACCACCCAGTCAGAATCACCATGCCAGGAAGATAAACAGCAACACTAGAGAACAACACTACAGCACCATACCTGGTCCCCTGTAGCATGACGTTTTTATTGTCACACACAAGCATATCCACGCACGTTCACACTTTTATTCTGAAGGTGAGATTACTCCTCTTCACAAACAATCACTCACACACACACACACACACACACACACACCCTGCCAGTCTATAATAAGGCAGAGGGGTTGCTTAGCAACAAGGCTAAGGTGTAGCAGGTTAATACCCAGGTGCCATTTCATGAGATCAAAACCATACCAAAGTGCCTTTCATGACAAAATAGCTAAATAAATGGAAAACCCACACAGAACAGAGGCATTATAGTATTCCAAGAATTCCATGAGGCTGTACACCACTCCCCTGTGGTTTTCCCTCTCTCTGATCGACCATTCAGGGTCCAGATTGTCATTTGACAGACGGACAGTTTCAGACTCCTGGGGGGCTGTGATTGCCTGGACACGTGCTATCTATGACTATGGTTCTGTCCTGTCCTGCTGTATATAGGCTGATTTCAGAGCTACAATTTCAACCAGATAGCAAAATGAAACTGAAAGTGCATTGCGGGCGTGTGCATGCCAGATTGGGGCAGAAGCCTCTCAAACAGATGTGGCATCAGAAGCAAGAACAATGAAGTACCTTACTGTAATAGTTTTGCATTCAAATGGTCAAAAATAAACAAAAATTGCTTTTTTAGCAACAAATTATTTCTCAAGCAAGAATCTAGCTACGACTGTATGGGAGTGAGGGACCTAGTTGGAGGGGGCCTAATGGGAGAGATATGTAACCTGATAACTAGCTGTTATTGGCAGAGAGGTTTGGAACTCTCTTTGTTATTGGTCTATTAACTTATACCGCCTGGTGATGTCACCAGGCAAGCCAAAACAGGAATCAAAACCACTATCCTGGCGTTGCAAGCTAGCTGGACTAATCACACACAGGGTTCAACTGAGTGGCCAATTCACAGCAGTAGGCAGACAGGGAGCAGGCCAATTCACAGCAGTAGGCAGACAGGGAGCAGAGGAGCAGAGACAATATCAGCGGTGGAGGAAATTACTTCTCAAGGACGAGACAGACAGTTAAAACTCCATCTCCCCCACCATCTCCCATCAAACAGTTTCTGTACACGGTTAATTGGACATGATCGTTAAGTTAAGAGAGCGAATTTCCTCCGACGCCGTCAACAAGAGATGGAGAGACACGGAAGAGGAGGAGGAGACCGTCTCTGGATCTAGCCGTCAGACCAGACGACCCCATCTCTCTCTCTGTATGACGGTCTGGCTGAGCTGTTGAAACAGCATTTCCTAGTTACTGTACCACAATTCCACTTCCAATCATGGAACTATTATTATTTTCAAGGAGGAATCTCCCCATGAAGAAATCCTGTGTTGGTAAGGGTCTTCGTCATGAGAAGCTGGGTTTGCCCTGTGGCCTTGGTCAAAGTAGTGCACCATATAGGAAATAGGGTGCCATCTGGGATGCAGCCGCCGTTTAACGAGCAGCAGGGAGCATTTTCACATATTTAATTGACAGTTACTGACTGACAGACAGACAGACAGACAGACAGACAGACAGACAGACAGACAGACAGACAGACAGACAGACAGACAGACAGACAGTCTGTCTGTCTGTCTGTCTGTCGGAAGCGCAGACATGCCCGGCATGTAGGCCCCAGCTGGTTTATATAACCACTGTGACATCTGTCACTGATTACATAACCCTGGTCGTGTGTGCGTGTGTGCGTGCGTGCGTGTGTGTGTGTGTGGTGGAAGAGCAGACATGCCCGGCATGTAGGCCTCAGCTGGTTTATATAACCACTGCGACATCTGTCACTGATTACATAACCCTGGTCCCTGTGTATTAAAACATTTGCTGCCGGTATTCATATCCTCAATACATAGTGGTTGAATGTACTACAAATCTGGATAAATGAGTCCAAGGCTAGATCAGCTTTGAGTACTGACACCCTCTCTGTAAGTTCAGAGAGTACACAGGATGCATCCGTAATGGCACCCTATTCACTTTATAGTGCACTTCTTTTGACCATGACCCATATGGCTCTGGTGAAAAGTAGTGCACTATTTAGGGAATAGGGTTGCATTTGGGATGCATCCTGTGTACTCTCTGAACTCACTTGGAGGGTGTCAGCACTCAAAGCTGATCTGGCCTTGGACTCATTTATCCTGACTTTTAGTACAGGCAGAAAGGGAGAACTGATAGGGTAGAAAACTGAAAGCACCAGAAATAATTGCTTGAACCTAAGAGCAAGAGAGAGAGTCGCTGACTAACTATTGAGAAAGATATGCGACCTTGAAAAAAATGATTTGATTTTAATATAAGTGGAATAAAGTGAACTCACTTATGTTTGTGAACTAGCTATGAACTTGCAGTCCAACTTACAGTACCAGTATTCACATCCAAACTGGACATTTGATCAGATGGCATTAAATTCTGACCCAGGCCGATAGGCCCTGGTCAAGAGCAGTGCGCTACATAGGGAATAGAGTGCCATTTGGGATCCAACTAAAGTGTTCTCACACCTCACTCAGTGTCAGTGTTCTCACCTGGGACAGGTACAGCTGATCCAGTCATCAGCATGCTCCAGAGGGGATGCCCCCTTCCCCGTAAGGGACAGTAGTTTGGGCAGGGTGACTGGAAGTTGATCCTCAGGGACCGCCACAGGACCACAAGACCCACAATGCACCATGGGGATGGGCGTTCCCCAGTACCGCTGCCGGGAAATAAGCCAATCCCTGAGCTTGGAGCTGGTCAGGTGGCCACCCACTTTTCTCTCTCTGGCCTTCTGGGTAATGGAGTCAAAAGCCTCCTCCCTGCTGAGGCCTGTGAACTACACAGAAGAGGTGGATAGATGGAGAGAGAACAGGACGACAGTTTAGAAGCTCAAACACACATGAATTCAACAAAACTCAGCTACTTGCCAATACTTAATTCAACCATAAATAGGGGTCTTCCATTAATAACCATAAAATCAAATCAAATCACATTTTATTGGTCACATACACATATTTAGCAGATGTTATTGCGGGTGTAGCGAAATGCTTGTGTTCCAAGCTCCAACAGTGCAGCAGTATCTAACCATTCACAACAATACATACAAATCTAAAAGTAAAAGAATGGAATTAAGTAATATATAAATATTAGGACGAGCAATGTCTGAGTGGCATACAACAATCTGTATAATGACTGAAAAGCTGGTTTACTGGTAACGTTGTGTAGAGTGACAGTGTGTGTTGCTGTGTGTCCAAACAGACCTCAGCAGAGTTGAGCAGTGTGTGCGTTCCATCCTCCTGGCTCTTCAGGACTGGGCTCCAGCTCAGACCCAGAGCCCTGGCCACAGAAGCATCCTCCACACTGCTGTCAGGGATACCTGCCAGGGACACACACATGGTACATTTGTCACACACACGTGCACACCAGCATGCACACACACAGTAAACAACTCCACTTTAGGGAGCCTATCTGTTGAGAATGAGCCAAGGTGTCTCAGGGGCTGTCTTTACCTAGAACAGGGATTGGCAACTTGATTGGGGTGGGGGCCACAAAAACGGAACTCATCATGAAATTGCACCTTGTGTATTGTATAATTCTAACTCTCAACAGTAAGAGAGACTGACTGAGTTGAAATTGGTCCACGGGCCTACAAACGGGCCTACAAATGGGGGGCTGCGGGTTGCTGGGATATGGCTAGTTCTTCATGGGTATTGCCTCCTCGTGGACAAACACCCAAAGCACCAAGCAGGGAACTCCTTCTAGAGAGTTAAGGTTACATCATTGTACAACAGCAGCCGAACGCCCAGAGTATGACAGAGACACACTGCAGGCTCAAGGACACACTGGCACAGTGACATCTACAAACATGTACAGGACACAGGGACAGGCTGAACGTGATTCATGAAATAGAGAGACTAATAAAAGCACAAGAACAAAAGCTCAAAGGTCAATAATACACAGTGAGTACATACTGTATGTGCAAGCCATGTGGACGTTCAAACCCACACACACATCCACGTACCTATGACAGTGTCTAGATGACCCTCAAACTCCTGCTTGCTGGAGATGACCAGGGGAAGTTCCTGACCGGTAAATAGGTTGAGGGCGGTGACCTCTGTCAGGCAGTCTGGGGGTTAAAGGTCAGAGTTCAGGAGTCAGCGAGGGAGAGCTTCTCCCCTGGTGCCTCATTATCAACAATCAGAGAGAGAAGAGATAAAGAGAGAGAGGGATAGATAGAGACAGACAGCGTGACAGAGAGAGAGAGACAGAGAGAGACAGCAAAAAAGAGAGAGAGGATAGAGAGAAAGAGAGGGAAGGGGACAGATAGAGACAGAGTGACACAGAGAGAGAGACAGAGAGAGATAGCGAAAAAGAGAGAGAGAGGATAGAGAAAGAGAGAGCATAGATCGAGCGAGACAGAGAGAGAGAGAGAGAGAGAGGGAGAAAGAGAGAGCGAGAAAGTTCGATAAAGATAAAGAGAGAGATTCAGGGGAATCCCAAGTAAAACACACAGAGGCACCGGGAGAAGAGCAGCAGAGAAACACATAACATATCCTGGAGGGTATACCCATGCACAACTGTCTCTCTACACACACACACACACACACACGATAAGTGCTGCTCACACACATCTACACCAATACCTCTGGACATAACCTCCAGAAAAACCAAATTTATGTACCTGTGTTGCACTGTGTTTCAGCTTAGCGTGAGCAAGCACTAAACTCAACATCAACATCCAAAATCAACTACTAACAGCCAGTAATTCTCTATACTACACTGAACAAAAATCTAAACGCAACATGTAAAGTGTTGGTCCTATGTTTCATGGGCTGAAATAAAAGATCCCAGAAATGTTCCATCCACACAAAAAGCTTATTTCTCTCAAATGTTGTGCACAAATTTGTTTACATCCCGATTAGTGAGCATTTCTACTTTGCCAAGATAATCCATCCACCTGACAGGTGTGGCATATCAAGAAGCTGATTAAACGTCATGATCATTACATAGGTACATCTTTTGCTGGGGACAATAAAAGGCCACTCTAAAATGTGCAGTTTTGTCACACAACACAATGCCACAGATGTCTCAAGTTTTGAGGGTGTGCAATTGGCATGCTGACTGCAGGGATGTCCACCAGAGCTGTTGCCAGAGAATTTAATGATAATTTCTCTACCATAAGCCACCTCAAACGTTGTTTTAGAGAATTTGGCAGTATATCCAACTGGCCTCACAACCGCAGACCACGTGTATGGCGTCCTGTGGGCGAGCGGTTTGCTGATGTCAACATTGTGAACAGAGTGCCCCATGGTACTGGTGGGGTTATGGTATGGGCAGGCATAAGCTATGGACAACGAACACAATTGCATTTTATCGATGGCAATTTGAATGCACAGAAATACATTGACGAGATCCTGAGGCTCATTGTGAGGCCCATTTATTTTAAGGCATCTGTGACCAACAGATGCATATCTGTATTCCCAGTCATGTGAAATCCATAGATTAGGGCCTAATGAATTGACTGATTTCCTTATATGAATTGTAACTCAGTAAAATCATTGAAATTGTTGCATTTTGCGTTAATATTTTTGTTCAGTATACTTGATCAAAAACGTGGCATTGCTCTGACAGAGTTACAATGGGCCACATACAATACATATTTACTGTAAGACACTTTGGATAAAAGCGCCACTTAAAAAATGACCACAGACTACCAGGTCTGGACAGTGGTTCCTTCCTACCTCTGCCTGTCTGCAGGGCTCTCTCCAGGGCTGAGCGGACTGGGCTGGTACCATGGAGCAATCTGTGGGAGGGGAGGATGGACAGGTAGGCAGCCCCAAACACTGCCTCTGGGCTGGAGGTGTAGCCTGCTAGAGTCTCCCCCGTCTCCTCCCCATTCACCTGCATGGAGGGAAGGATAGACAGACACACACACAGTTTATGGATAAATACATGACAGGACAGTAACTTTGTTACATTTGTTGTTGAGCAGGGTAAAGCAGGACACAGTTAAAAAACGAAACATAACACTAGTTGGTAAGAAAAAAAGAAAAAAACGTAGTGAGGTGTGTGTGCAATATTTAGCAATTGATCATGTTTTTAACGTTAATGCGTTAACATGCTATCGCCTGACAGAAATCCCATTAAATTGTCACCAAAAATACAGAATCATAATACAGATCTTAAGCAGCTACTCTGGGAGTCATTTAGTACAGAACACCGTTGACAATGTTAAAGATGTAATGGGACTGGTTCCTGCTTCCCATCTACAAAACGACCGCTGGCACTACTTTTAATTACCCACTCTGCCAGGTTCTGACTGATTTATGAGAACCCCCCTCCTACACACACACACACACACACAGATTCACACACTTGCGCGCACACACACACACGCACACACAGAAAGTCATAACCCCCCCCCTTCCAGAAATGTGATAACGATTTTAATAAGGAAGGAAGGCATCAACTAGCTGGCCTAATACATTTCCTCCATCTGTTGCAAGGAGAGTTCGATGACTGGGGTGACTGGAGCTATAATAATAATAATAAAATGGAGTTCACAGTAGGCTTTAAGCAAAACCATTTTAGAATGTCAATACTCTTTCAACATTCTAAAAGTGCATTTAGATATTTCAATGCAAATAAACACACAGCCACACAGTCACTATGTTTGAGTAAATTGCTGCTTGCAGAGGGACGACGCGTGCTGCTTGCTGAATGAGAATGATGTAGCCTATTAGCAGGTGAGAATCTCAGTGCTAATCCTAGTGATAATCCTAGTGATAATACTAGAATACATTCAAATGTTTATACCTGGAAGACTAAGTAGTCTAAACTAAAGCAGGATGACTGACAAGAGGGAACGGATGAGAGATGTGAGTCTAACCTTGAGGTGGAAGTCGAAGTAGCAGCCGGTGCAGTCTCCAATCCAGTTGGCCTGCATGGCCTTGACCCCGTACCATTCTGGCAGCTCTGCTAGGGCGTCCAGCAGGGGCTGGGAGAGAGAGAAATACATAATAAATAAAAAATCCTGACATAAGATGTTAAATCATATTGTAATGTCAGATGAAGATACTGTATAGGTTTGGAGAACACTCACTGGGTTCAAGGTCAGATCAGCACATCATTGACTCTTCCTCTGTACCCTGAGTGGCTCTTCCAAAGCTCAGCCAATATCCTGGCACAATACCACAGTCTGCCTCATTTCACATTATGCAGTCAGAGGGATTTTAGAAATCCTGACCTCCACCCGGCCTACTTTTCCATTTATCACAAAGCAATCGCTCATGACCCACTCACTCATTCTCAACAACAGTTTCATAACGAGAGAGAGAGAGAGACAGATGTAGAGAGAGAGAGCGAGCGAGAGAGAGAGACAGAGACAGATGTAGAGAGAGAGAGAGACAGAGACAGATGTAGAGAGAGAGAGAGAGAGACAGAGACAGATGTAGAGAGAGAGAGAGAGAGACAGATGTAGAGAGAGAAAGAGAGAGAGAGAGGAGTAGAGAGAGAAAGAGAGAAAGACAGATGTAGAGAGAGAAAGAGAGAAAGACAGGTGTAGAGAGAGAAAGAGAGAAAGAGAGAGAGACACACAGACACATACTTCTAAAAGGAAGCTATGCATTACAACAAGGGGCAGGCCAGAAAGCCCCAGCTGGGTTCCTCTTCTGTCTGAATGGAGAATATAAAAAGGCAACAGCACCAATTTGATATCCCTCTCCCCCACTGTCACAACCCATTACCTAGCCACCCTCTGAGATCTCCATCCAACACACTGTAATAACACTAATAACATCAATACAACCAATACTAACAACGGAGATAAGGATGATTGTAATTGCAGTGTGTATCACTGTTATTTCACTGTTTCGAAAGCATGGATGGAGAGAGAGAGAGAGAGAGAGAGAGAGGAGAGAGGGAGAGAGAGAGACAGAATCTGAGAGAGTGAGAAAGAGATGTCTTGCCATAAATGCTGGTGTCTTTGTGTCAGTCAAGCAGCCTAGCAACAATGCCAGTGTGAGCGTACAGCCTGGCTGCCAGCAGGCTGTGGTGTCTGAGACACCCTGCCTCGAGGTGTCACGGGATTGTCACCAAAAACAAACCTGCTGAGGGGAACTGAGGTGAGGTGGTACTCTGCTCAAATCATGAGATGAAGAGAAAAAAAAACTAAACTAAATTGTGTCTGTCTCCAGAAAAGAAGCAACATCAATGGAGCCACATAAACCTGAGGGTTTAACCAGAGATGTAGGCCTATGGCTGGGCCAATTCCAAGGGTATCCATGGCAACCTTGCAAAGCTATAAAATGCTATATCAATAAAGTGAGGGTGGCTAAGGTTTTTTAGTGTGTGTGTCAATGTCTGTGTGTGTGTGTGTGTGTGTGTGTGGGTTTCCCTGCATCTTTTGGAGCATCTCTCCTACATGCGTTCATACATGAAATATTTTATCACCCTAACACATGCATGTGAATATATCTGAGGCTGCCTACGGAACAATCTAGCAAAGCTTAATAGAGTGTATATGTTTGTATGCCTGTGTAAAATGATGAATGTACTGTACGTGTAAAGTCTGTGTGAGGCTGGTAATTGAAGTGAATGCCACTGTGTTGATTTACATGACACTACAGTGTGATGTGTTCAAAAGAGTGAGTCCATGAGTGTGTGATTATGCATGAAATAGAAAACATCTATTGTCAATGTAATTATTAATTGTGTTCATCATGTGTGTGTGTATGTGTGTGGTGTGTGTGTGTGTGTGTGTGTGTGTGTGAGTGAATCTCAGAGATAAAGTGCAGTTACTGGGTCATACAGCTGAAGCCTGCTGGTTAATGTGTAAGTGACCAGTGTATGTCTTTACCAGGGGCCAGGGGAAGTGGGGGAACTGGAAATGGTACCAGCACGCACACACCAATCAACCCTTATCAATCAAGGCTCTAACAGCATGAATCTATCAGCATAGGGAACCTGACCTTCTGGCCCACCAATCAGACAGGTTTGGAAGGCTTCCACTCAGAGCCTCTCAGTACCAACCATTCCTCATCTGGAGAGGTTTGAATCAGCACACCTCCAGTTACTCTCGCTCCATGTGCCCAGGTTCAAGCTGCCTGTGTGTGTGTGTGTGTGTGTGTATATATGTCTGTGAGTGCGCTGCCCAACCCATGAGTGGAATAAATCTCCAGAGAGGGTAATTTCAACCCAGAGTGTAGCTGGTAGTGGCTGGTAGTGGCTGGTAGTGATTACGAGACCCTGCTGCTGGAGACGTGGAGGTTTCTCATCAGTCAGACTGGCCAGGACCGGTGAGGCCAGCCTGGGAATGACATTCTCAGCAGGCTGCTGATTACACAGCCAGGGCTGGGTTCAGGTAGTATATATATTTTTTCAAATACTCTGAGCATTTGATTGACACCGTCTGAAATTCCAGATGGGTGGGCTTTGCAGTTTGGAACTAGTCCATTGGTTCCATTGTGCCAGGTAAGATCACTCAATCACAGCTAAAGTATTTGAAAGAAAACAAATCCTACTTGAGCCCAGGTTTGTTCCATAGCCAGGGCTAAAGCTGCTGCCATGGTGTCTGCAGTGATTGACATCAGAGGGGTCTCCCGCCCTTCCATTCTCACACAGCCTCTAATGTAGCCAGCCAATCAGATTATGCCAAAAGGCGCAGGTGGCGAGATTGATGCGATAGGACGCCCTTTGACCCTTATTGCTGCTGACGGGCTTATTACCAACACACCCACAATGTGCACGAGACACACACACACACACACACACACACACCTACCTTGGCATAGTTGGTGGTCTTAATGAACCACTGCCTGAGTAGTTTCTGCTCCACCAGAGCTCCAGACCTCCAGGAGCGCCCGCTCTCATCCACCTGCTCATCAGCCAACACCGTCTGGTCCACGGGGTCCCAGTTAACCACCGCCTGGAACAAACACACACACACATGCCAATTACTACAACTACACACAGAAACAAAGACAGACATAAGCCAACATCACAGAAGCTGATCCAATCAAAGAAAGAGACAGATGTTTCCTAATATGAGTGCCAAAATAGCTTGTATCTGATTAAACTACATGACCCCTCCACTACAGCACAGATTTTCCGAAGGTCTGTAATCTACTAGGTAAAATATGTTTTCCTCACAAAGCCACAGGAGGCTCCATAGTTACTGAAGACACTGTGAGCCTCTGTGGCCTGCCTGAGTCATCCTCCTGGGGTGTGTCTCCCTCATCCTGCCTCCCTGGAGCTCTACACAGGCCCATGACAATACCAGGGGCATGACTGCATCACATTAGTCTAAAGTGTCGTCATCTCCTCGTCAGCAGAGATGGAAAGGAGATGAAGAGAGGAAACCTACTTTAGACTATTGAGACACAGCCAATGACAAGGATTGGACAGATTCAAGGCCAGCGAACATACCTCTTTCTGATAGGCCAGTCCTGCCTTGAAGAGCTTGACGAACAGCCACTGGGTCCACCTGTAGTAGTCTGGCAGGCAGGTGGTCACCTCCTGGTCAGAGGAGAGGGAAGGAGAGGGATCCACAAGATGATTCATTCACACATGCACGAGAGAAAAGAGAGTAATCCACCCACACAGAGCCTCCCACTAAAAGGTTGGAGGTGGTGCTCAGCTCCTCTCATTACTCACCTTGTCCCAATTAAAGCAGAGCCCTAGGCTGTCGAGCTGCTCCCGCATGGACTGGATATTACTGGGGACGGAGACAGACAAGGGAGAGGAGGACGTTAGGGGGAATGTGTGTGTGTGTGTGTGTGAGAGAGAGAGAGAGAGAGAGAGAGAGAGAGCGAGAGAGCGAGAGAGCGAGAGAGCGAGAGAGCGAGAGAGCGAGAGAGAGAGAGAGAGAGAGAGAGAGAGAGAGAGAGAGAGAGAGAGAGAGAGAGAGATGTTTGTGTCATATCTTGTATTGTACCTCTTAGTCCATTCCTCTGGGTCAAGGCCTCTCTCGATGGCAGCATTCTCTGCTGGGAGTCCAAAAGCATCCCAGCCCATTGGGTTTAGCACCTAAAAACACAGTTACACAGAAATCAGTTACATATCACACCTGGCTGTTCTTCCCAGCCCATTGGATTTTACACCTGTTACACACAGCCCCCAAGATAATAGTTCAATTCAATGTAAAATCCTTTATTTGTCCCCTTTTAGTCAAGGCAATTACTAATACAGCCACAACAAACCGGCACAGAGACCATACGTGAACATATCACACCTGACTTTTCAGTATATCCCTTTAACAAAGGCCTGTTTGAGAGTGCTCAAGCACTCCCCTGTAGCTCAATTGGTAGAGCATGGCGCTTGTAACGCCAGGGTAGTGGGTTCGATCCCCGGGACCACCCATACGTAAAAATGTATGCACACATGACTGTAAGTCGCTTTGGATAAAAGCGTCTGCTAAACGGCATATTATCATAATATTATTATTATCTCTAGTAAAGAACATCAACTACAAGGCCCGAAGGCTATACAAGAGCATTTGACTGTAATACGGTCTTGCATGCATCTTTAAACATGCACAACAGTGTTTACCTATCCCATCTCATTATCCATAATCTCTGTTCTATGCCAGAAGGCATGTACTGTACGTACAAGCTGTTAAACACAACCAGAGTGTAAGGCAGAGAGGTGAAGGAACATATAAACATCTAATGCATGTGTGGCTGTGCACAGGCCCATAAAGGCCTAATGGGAGTTAAACATTAGAATGGGAGGGAACATCCTGGCGTTGGTCTGATTGGATGTGTTAAATGGAGGATGGTAATAGGAATCAAGGCCTCTCTGTTTGGATCATCATCATCTATATTTCATTCACATTCAGTATGGGGATGTTGTGTTGTATGGCATTGTACTTTTCAGCACTGACCGATGTGATCAGACGTTTACACAGGCTCCCAGCTTTTGCTTGCTTGCTTGCAGTCAGTCAGTCAGTCAGTCCCCCCCCCCCCCCCCCCCCCCCCCCCAACCCTCTTTTCTATTCTCCCGGTCTCTGACACTTGTTTTCACCCCTCTCCTCCTCATAATGTGTTTTCTCACTTATTTCCCTCCTTCCCTCCGCTTCTCACAATACTATTAAGAATTGATAACCCCTTCTCCACCCTTCTCTATTCCTTCTTGATCCTTCGCTTTTCTTCCACCCATACACTTACTGAAGAGAAAGAAAATGGAGGAGAGGCAATAAAGGGAGAGGAGTGGAGAAGAGAGGAGAATGGAAGAGAAGCAGAGAGAGAGAGAGAGAGAGAGGGAGAGAGAGAGAGAGGGGGGGGGACAGGAGAGGAGAGGAGTGGAGAAGAGAGGAGAATGGAAGAGAAGCAGAGAGAGAGAGAGAGAGAGGGGGACAGGAGAGGAGTGTGCATCGACTAACGAGTCAGACGAATCGGTATCCTTGGTAACTGCCTGGGTCTAATTTGTAAAGCTGAGTGCTAGATGTTATTAGTCTAAGTGAGCACCTGCGTGCCAAGGTAAAATATACAGACATTGACCAGAGAAATGAGTACCTGTAGATCTATAAATATAAATACGTCCCTACGATCATTAAAATAGATGTGCTTGCCGTGTTAATACACAGTTTTTTCGGTTTAAATGTGCCCATTATCTAATGTAGTGAGGAGGACCTTTAGCAGACCTGTTGTAGAGAAGAGAGGAACTCCTGACGGACAGGACAGGCTGTCTGCCTCGGTTCATTTCTCAAAGTTACATCAGCCCAAAGAGACTATGTCAGAGGCAAACCATCATCCCTTTTTAACAGTCGATGCTCCACAACAACCCCAGGGCCAAAGTCAAGTCTCTAACTCCCCCACTACGACTGTATTGCCTACATTTAACCTATGGATAGAGGAGGAGCTAAGAGAGCAACCTGTCCACAGAGTGGAGGACTTAGATGTATTTTAGGGAGTGACTTGTCCATCCAGACCAGCAGGACAGCCTGAAAGACAGGAGTCCCAGGGGAGGGGGCTGATTTTGGGCATGCAACACATTGGCACGGCTATGCTAAAGTGTATGTGTCCACCCACACACAAATCCCAAAAGCTCTGGTTCCATCTGTGAAGAGACGAGTTGCAGGCTGAAAGCAGAACAGAGCCACAGACAGTCTAACCACTAAACATCACACCACAACTAGGCTACAGGGAAGGGATTTGACTAAACATCACACCACAACTAGGCTACAGGGAAGGGATTTTACTAAACATCACACCAAAACTAGGCTACAGGGAAGGGATTTTACTAAACATCACACCAAAACTAGGCTACAGGGAAGGGGTTTTACTAAACATCACACCAAAACTAGGCTACAGGGAAGGGATTTTACTAAACATCACACCAAAACTAGGCTACAGGGAAGGGATTTTACTAAACATCACACCAAAACTAGGCTACAGGGAAGGGATTTTACTAAACATCACACCACAACTAGGCTACAGGGAAGGGATTTTACTAAACATCACACCACAACTAGGCTACAGGGAAGGGAATTTGTCTCTACAAGTGTAATCTCCTTGAACGAATGAACTAGTTGAAGACAACTTGTTCTCTCTCTGGTGTGTGTGTGTGTGTGCACACGTGTGTGTGGACACAGTAAATGGATTCTCTTTCTCTCTGACAGATGTTGACAGAAAAATATCCCCTTGGGCAGTACCGGGTAGCTGTCAATCCACTGAAACAGTGGCTGGTCCATACAACAACTAAAATAATAGTGGTTAGGAAGACAGCATTACAGCCTTACTGCTAGTAGCCCAGATGCAGCCTACCTGCTAAGAAAAAGAAAGTCCATATGAAGACAGAAATGTAGCCTACACTGTGACCCTGTGAGTGGATGAGGGTATTTGCTGAGTAAACAACCAGCAGGGAAAAGCTTTGAGCAGCAAACACACAACAAACACACCTGCAGATATATTCAGTCACAGTCACAGCTGCATGGCATACAGCAGGTTGTTTAGGGATTGCTAAACACTGAGGGCTTATTGACTCAAGTGTGATGGATGAAACATCTGGGTTGTGTTCATTAGGGCACGCAACGGAAAATGAACATTTCTTATTGGACCAGTCCCTCCCTGCTTCAATCTGTTTTCTTCCGTTAGGTGCCTAATAAAATGAACACGACCCAAGCGATAGTGCTCATAATTACTCAACTCCTCCTCTGTCCCCTCTCTGCTTGTCCTGAACCTGTCTCTCTCAAACCTCTATCCATCTCTCTCTGAGTGGGAGGGAGTTATCATGACAAAGAGAAGAATGGATGGAGTAATGGTTTAGAACAGTATACAGATGGAGGGAGAGAGAGTAAGAGAGGGGGAACAGAGAGGGGGGGAGGGGGAGTAAGAGAGAGCGAAGAAGAGAGTGAAAGAGTGACAAAAATAAGTGAGGGTCACAGTGAATGAATTAGTAACCATGTCAAGCTATGGGTGACTGGCTGCATTAGGGGACACATAGTGACAGACAGTCCCTGGTCCTAAATGGTGTCTCTGGGGAGTCATTTGTCACCACTGGTTTATAGGACACCAACGGTCTGATCATCATATATCTCCTAAACACCAACACACATCTCTCACGCTTTTCTATGAGGAGGAGAGTCGTCAACACATTAGAATGGATAGGGGGAGCTTGCTTCCCTCCCTGTCTTACCCCTGCAGAAACACTTCAAGGCAGATGTCTTAGAGGGCCTCACCAACTTAAAGAGTAATTGTTTTGACATTAAACCTTTTTATGCCGTAATCATGTCTGGTAATGTGCCATGCGTAGGTAGTCCCATTGAAAAGTGGTCTTGTGGCTAAGAGCACTTAGGTAAGTGCAGTGTAGCGTTGGGCCAGGGACAATGGGAGCACTCTTAAAGCTACAATTTGCGATTCCTTTTTCAGCAAAATGGCAGCCCCACCACTTGTTTTTGTATACAACTGAAAGTTGAGGCTGGGGAAATGTCCTATGAAATGACAATTGAACTCATTCCCAGATCTCAGATTGCACCTTTAAGAGCTGAGTGAGAAGGCAAAGGAAGAGCCGCATCTCTCTTAGTTTAAACAGCCTCCACACACGCCTCCTGCAGAACAGATGCCAACTGTGATTCAGACTAGACAGAACATCAAGGCCGTAATGATGATGGATCAGGGCTTCCACTCCAGACAAGATGTAAAGAGAGTGAGAATGTACGGTGGCCTTGAGGACTGCACACAAAGTGCTGCACAGCTGTGTGCTTCTACGTGACTAACCTGGAGTCGTGACAGTACCGTTTGTGTGCATGTAGAGGGAGAGAGAGAGAGACAAAGCCATAGAGACAGACATGCATAGAGGGGTGGAAAGGAGATTAATAAATTATAAAAGTTACCAGTATGGGCAGCTTAGCTTTTCACAATGCAAATGTTCACAGTTGAACCTCCAGCTACTATCATGGCCAGTCGCTTTGGATAAAACTGTCTGCTAAATGGTATATGTTATTATTACCTGGTGGCCCCTCATCCTCTGGAAGTGTCCGATGGTATCACTGATGGTATAGACCCGTACATGGCCCATGTGGAGACGGCCGGAGGGGTACGGGAACATAGACAGGACATAAAACTTCTTCCTACGGGAACTCTGGGGAAGACAACAAACACATTTTCTTGAAGGAGCTCATTGATGGACTGAAGACTTTTGTGTGGAAAGCCTGGGCTGAATCAAGATGCATTGTGGGTTTGTAACAATGTCGTGACACAAGGTTGGATGTCAGGGTCATCTACAGTGCTATTTGCCTTGGAGGACTGTTGATGGTTGTGACAACAGTCATCAAAAACAGAGACGGACAAATAGGAGACTGTGAATAGGTTACTTCATTACTAAGCATATTACGCCTATGAGTCAAGAATATTAGACAGTAAGTGAATGATTTAGTGAATGCTTTAGAGTTTACGCAAACCAGAAGGCCTCCCAAAGGGAACACTAAACAGGGTTCAACCAGACAGACGCACACATATAAACATAGCAATAGGCCCAGGTACTAATGCCACATGATGACTATGGTTATTCTGAAGGATGCTTAATGACCAGAGTATGGTTTAATATTAGGCTAGATTATAATTGGAAATAAAGCCAGGGGTGTTTTAAAATATTCATCTGACAATCTTTCCCAGAAGCCTGTACTAAGGGCCAACAGAAAGCAAAGAGAGAATGTAAGAATTTCTGCCAACTCACCTCCTCCAGCGTATCCCTCTGCCACTGCTCCATGATACGGGGGTGCCACCACTGCTCCACCCTGCGTCTGGTGTCTGCTTTATAGTCCCTGTCCCAGACCCCTGTCTCGCTGAACAGGGTCCGAGCCCCGGCTCTGGGGCAGGGGGAGAGGAGGTGGGGCAGGGGGGCCATGAGGGCACGGTCAGCCCTGGACCTGGGTCTGCCCAACCCCAACCTGACCAGGCCACTGCCACGCGGGCAGAGAGCCACTCTGTACGCTGCCATCTGCATGGCTCTGTCACCTAGGCAACACAAGGACACAGTTCTATTAGTCAGGGCTCTGCTCACAAGAAAAGACAGCAGAGTACACAGAAGCTGCAGCCAAAGCCTCAGTCAGCTCATCCCCATTCTTAAGGAAAATAGGCTGCTAGGAACAGGATGAAAATAACAGTCTGGAGTTTGATTCTGGTTAACAATAGTTGGTGAGTAATACCTGTTCATTAACACAGTAATAGATGTTCAATAACACCTGAAGGCATCAGATCACATAAGGCAAAACTGAAAAAAGGCACACACATACACATCGTACGCACACACACACACACACACACACACACACACACACACACACACACACACACACACACACACACACACACACACACACACACACACACACACACACACACAGTCACCAAGATAACCCAATCACTTTTTAACAGCACTCCTTTTGATTTAAACAAAATCTTCCATACATATTTGCCCATTGTAAAAGTGCTCAGAAAGTGACTTTTTGTAACTGAATGCCAAAACATTCATGAGATAAAGGTGCTCAAAGATGACCCATTTTGCATACCCCACCATACCATGAGAAATCTGTCTACATCACTGTAAAAGATAAACGAGATTGATATCATTTAAAAGCTTACAAACAGGGTTGTAGCTTAGACCCTATTTTACATTTACATTTAACATTTGAGTCATTTAGCAGACGCTCTTATCCAGAGCGACTTACAGTTAAGTGAGTGCATACATTTTTCATACTGGCCCCCCATGGGAATCGAACCCACAACCCTGGCATTGCAAGCGCCATGCTCTACCAACAGAGCTACACAGGGGCTTTTTTTTTTACATCATCTTAGGTTTTTTGTTGTGTCCGCCTTCGGTTGAGACAACATTCTCTTGAATACAGGGGTGGGTGTCATGTTTTGGCTGATAAATGTGCCACAAAGATGGTTGAAGGTCCACACATCAGAGACTGTTGACTTGAATGGGAATATCAGTTGTTTTATATTATACTGTCAATCCTCCATAGGATTGGGGCCCCATGTAGCTCAGTTGGTAGAGCATGGTGCTTGCAACGCTAGGGTTGTGAGTTCGTTTCCCACGGGGGGCCAATATAAAAAATTTAAAAAATGTATGCACTCACTAACTGTAAGTCGCTCTGGATAAGAGCGTCTGCTAAATGACAAAAAAAAAAAAAACGATTGAAATCATAGAAATATAGATAACAGAATAGCCATGACCATTTAAGTTGACATTTGACATTGGGTGGACTGGTAGTCATCTTTGTGGTAGTAATTAGATGTTAACATTTGTATTATATTTAAAATGTTAATGGTGTACCAGCCAAATTGCAGTGGTCTGAAGGGATAGGTCCATTCTACATTTTTACATTTTACATTTACGTCATTTAGCAGACGCTCTTATCCAGAGGGACTTACAAATTGGAGCATGTTGTATCTCAACCGATGGCAAGAAGAACACAAAAATATATATATATTTATTTGCGAGAAAAAATATATATATGGGAGATTGGAAGTGATGCAGACAATTACATTGATGGAAGTTACAATCTATCTGCAATATTAAAGCTGATCTACCCCCCCAAAAAATATTAAAATTAAAATTAAAAAGAAGAACACAAAAACCTCAGATGGTGTGAAATAGGGTCTAAGCTTCAACATATGCAATTCTCATTTTTTTAAATCTGAGTTTACGTGTTTTTTGATAATAAAAGTTTAAAAATGACAATTTTTATTCAACATTTTTTTTCAAAGAATTAATAAAATAGTTTGACAACACAGTCTGTAACTTTTAAATTATATTAAACCCAACCGTTTATCTTTTCCAGTGATGAAAACACGAATGTCTCATGGTATGGCGGGGTATGCAAAATGGGTCAATTTTGAGCACCTTTATCTCCTGAATGTTTTGGCATTCACATCCTAAAAGTCAATTTCTATTAGGCTTGGGCGGTATACCGTATATACAGTCTGCTCCTCCCCCTCTGAGCAGAGCAGGCAGGCCCGTTGCCCTAGCGACTCCAGACTCCACACACACAGGGTGTAGACACAAATAGGGTTAGTTATAGACATGCTGCTGGTGAGCCAGCTTTGTTCATTTGCACAATGTCTCTCATTCACATTCGCTTGTAAATGTCCAAAGTCACCAAAAATGACATTCGGTAGCTCCTACCAATATACAGTACCAGTCAAAAGTTTGGACACACCTACTCATTCAAGGGTTTTTCTTTATTTTTACTATTTTCTACATTGTAGAATAATAGTGAAGACATCAAAACTATGAAATAACACATATGGAATCATGTAGTAAATAAAAAAGTGTTAAACAAATCAAAATATATTTTATATTTGAGATACTTCAAATAGCCACCCTTTGCCTTGATGACAGCTTTGCACACTCTTGGCATTCTCTCAACCAGCTTCACCTGGAATGCTTTTCCAACAGTCTTGAAGGAGTTCCCACATATGCTGAGCACTTGTTGGTTGCTTTTCCTTCACTCTGCGGTCCGACTCATCCCAAACCATCCCAATTGGGTTGAGGTCGGGGGATTGTGGAGGCCAGGTCAACTGATGCAGCACTCCATCACTCTCCTTCTTGGTAAAATAGCCCTTACACAGCCTGGAGGTGTGTTGGGTCATTGTCCTGTTGAAAAACAAATGATAGTCCCACTAAGCCCAAACCAGATGGGATGGCGTATCGCTGCAGAATGCTGTAGTAGCCATGCTGGTTAAGTGTGCCTTGAATTCTAAGACAGTGTCACCAGCAAAGCACCCCCACACCATAACACCACCTCCTCCATGCTTTACGGTGGGAACTACACATGCGGAGATCATCTCACAAAGACACGGCGGTTGGAACCAAAAATCTCAAATTTGGACTCCAGACCAAAGGACAACTTTCCACCGGTCTAATGTCCATTGCTCGTGTTTCTTGGCTCAAGCAGGTTTCTTCTTATTATTGGTGTCCTTTAGTAGTGGTTTCTTTGCAGTAATTCGACCATTAAGGACTGATTCACACAGTCCCCTCTGAACAGTTGATGTTGAGATTTATATGTGACTTGAACTCTGTGAAGCATTTATTTGGGCTGCAATGTCTGAGGCTGGTAACTCTAATGAACTTATCCTCTGCAGCAGTAACTCTGGGTCTTCCTTTCCTGTGGCGGTCCTCATGAGAGCCAGTTTCATCACAGCGCTTGATGGTTTTTGCGACTGCACTTGAAGAAACTTTCAAAGTTCTTTTAATTTTCCGTATTGACTGACCTTCATGTCTTAAAGTAATGATGGACTGTTGTTTCCCTTTGCTTATTTGAGCTGTTCTTGCCATAATATGGACTTGGTCTTATACCAAATAGGGCTATCTTCTGTACAGTGGGGGAAAAAGTATTTAGTCAGCCACCAATTTTGCAAGTTCTCCCACTTAAAAAGATGAGAGAGGCCTGTAATTTTCATCATAGGTACACGTCAACTATGACAGACAAATTGAGGAAAAAAAATCCAGAAAACCACATTGTAGGATTTTTAATGAATTTATTTGCAAATTATGGTGGAAAATAAGTATTTGGTCACCTACAACAAGCAAGATTTCTGGCTCTCACAGACCTGTAACTTCTTCTTTAAGAGGCTCCTCTGTCCTCCACTCGTTACCTGTATTAATGGCACCTGTTTGAACTTGTTATCAGTATAAAAGACACCTGTCCACAACCTCAAACAGTCACACTCCAAACTCCACTATGGCCAAGACCAAAGAGCTGTCAAAGGACACCAGAAACAAAATTGTAGCCCTGCACCAGGCTGGGAAGACTGAATCTGCAATAGGTAAGCAGCTTGGTTTGAAGAAATCAACTGTGGGAGCAATTATTAGGAAATGGAAGACCTACAAGACCACTGATAATCTCCCTCGATCTGGGGCTCCACGCAAGATCTCACCCCGTGGGGTCAAAATGATCACAAGAACGGTGAGCAAAAATCCCAGAACCACACGGGGGGACCTAGTGAATGACCTGCAGAGAGCTGGGACCAAAGTAACAAAGCCTACCATCAGTAACACACTACGCCGCCAGGGACTCAAATCCTGCAGTGCGAGACGTGTCCCCCTGCTTAAGCCAGTACATGTCCAGGCCCGTCTGAAGTTTGCTAGAGTGCATTTGGATGATCCAGAAGAGGATTGGGAGAATGTCATATGGTCAGATGAAACCAAAATATAACTTTTTGGTAAAAACTCAACTCGTCGTGTTTGGAGGACAAAGAATGCTGAGTTGCATCCAAAGAACACCATACCTACTGTGAAGCATGGGGGTGGAAACATCATGCTTTGGGGCTGTTTTTCTGCAAAGGGACCCGGACGACTGATCCGTGTAAAGGAAAGAATGAATGGGGCCATGTATCGTGAGATTTTGAGTGAAAACCTCCTTCCATCAGCAAGGGCATTGAAGATGAAACGTGGCTGGGTCTTTCAGCATGACAATGATCCCAAACACACCGCCCAGGCAACGAAGGAGTGGCTTCGTAAGAAGCATTTCAAGGTCCTGGAGTGGCCTAGCCAGTCTCCAGATCTCAACCCCATAGAAAATCTTTGGAGGGAGTTGAAAGTCTGTTGCCCAGCGACAGCCCCAAAACATCACTGCTCTAGAGGAGATCTGCATGGAGGAATGGGCCAAAATACCAGCAACAGTGTGTGAAAACCTTGTGAAGACTTACAGAAAACGTTTGACCTGTGTCATTGCCAACAAAGGGTATATAACAAAGTATTGAGAAACTTTTTTTATTGACCAAATACTTATTTTCCACCATCATTTGCAAATAAATTCATTAGAAATCCTACAATGTGATTTTCTGGATTTTTTCCCCTCATTTTGTCTGTCATCGTTGACGTGTACCTATGATGAACATTACAGGCCTCTCTCATCTTTTTAAGTGGGAGAACTTGCACAATTGGTGGCTGACTAAATACTTTTTTTCTCCACTGTATACCAACCCATGTCACAACACAACTGATTGGCTCAAACGCATTAAGAAGGAAAGAAATTCCACAAATTAACTTTTAAGAAGGCACACCTTTTAATTTAAATGCATTCCAGGTGACTACCTCATGGTTGAGAGAATGCCAAGAGTGTGCAAAGCTGTCATCAGGGCAAAGGGTGGCTATTTGAAGAATCTCAAATATAAATTATATTTTGATTTTTTTTGGTTACTATATGATTCCATGTGTTATTTCATAGTTTTGATGTGTTCACTATTATTCTACAATGTAGTAAATTGAAAAAATAAAGAAAAACCCTGGAATGAGTAGGTGTGTCCAAACTTTTGACTGGTACTATAAGTAAACGTATATCCTGGGGTGAGAGAAGGACGATATGACAATCTGGATACCGCCCAACCCTACTTTCTATCCACTTCTTCCATGCCGGGCAAACAAGTATAGATTTACATTTACATTTTTGTCATTTAGCAGACGCTCTTATCCAGAGCGACTTACAAATTGGATAGTTTTGTTTAAATCAAAAGGGATGCTGTCAAAAAGGGATTGAATTCACATTTATTTACCCTATATTATTATAATAACATAGCAACCTTGACAACAGAGACACACTCACACAGACACTTGAGTGACACAGATGCTGCTGACATGACACATCATGAAAATATTTCCCAAGAAGTGTTCCATCCCACACAGCATATAAGTCAAGGCCCTTGGTAACACAAGTGGGTCAGACGTGTCAACCTCCAATTGCCCCTTGCAATTGCCTCTAGTAAAAATAAAAATAAACAGAGGCGAAGGGTATTTTCCTGGTCACTAAATCATCATTGCAAGACTGCCATAGAAGACAGCAAGTGGTTTTCACTCTATACAGTAGGCTAGGTTATATCCCTGAGCTGATGATGTGTGCCTATGGAGGGACTGCCTGGGAACCTCTCTAAAGAGCCTATAGCCTAGTGGTAGTTAGCACGTCCATAACCATACAGAAGGTGACACATTGACACACTCAATGAATCTTTAAGCCTACTGACATGGATAACTTGAAGGAGTTGGTTTTATATACGCTATCAATCTTTGAGAATTCAGCTAAATGTTAAGTACTTCAAGTATGACAAACAACTCACAAAAAAGCACTACATGCATGAACAGTATATGTCAGTATCTTTCATGCACGACCAAGTCAATAATATTGAAACATTTGACATGATGATTGTGTGCAGACTGTAGAGCAAGTGTCGCTCGCTCACCAGCCAGCAGCATTCATTCTCCTCAAACACCCACTCAAACCATAGATGGAGACATCTGCTCTGCTGTAGCCTAGCTACTCTATAGTCTCTATGGGACATCAGTGCAATGCCACAAATACACTATCCTCCAGCTAGAGCAGAGAGAGAGATATATAGAGAGAAAGAGAGAGAAAGAGACATACACAAGGTTGTGTCTGTGCATATGAGAGTGTGTGTAGGAGAGAGAGATAGAGGATAAGATGTTTATATGGTTACATTGACCCTTGTGAATGCCATATCTTTACCATAGAGAGCCTTGCATGCACCTTGAAAGATTCAGGCGATGCAAATCACGTTGTTCCAAGTTCACAGGGTAAATACATTAGCATTTGTGTAATATAATAGTTTTATGTGCTTGTTAGTTATTCAACAAATGAATCACGAATACCGTTAATAAGAAAAATAGCTAGCTAGCTAGAACGCGACTCGAGCTATCATTTCTTGAAATGACAGCCACATTAGCTAGCTAGTGACATTTGTAAGCTAGATGTTGCATGTTGAACGTCAGTGAAAAAGTAGCTTTGATCACAGGGTTTGAAGTTACTCACTGTGTTCAATTTCCAAATCCTTGCGTTAAGCGATATGGCTTTTATCGTGATCCATTATCTATATCAGATTCAAAATGTTATTGTGCACGTAAAGTCGTTGTATTCACCCTGTTGTCATGGCTTACACCTCCTCAATGTGCGCCGCCATGTTTGTCTTTAAAAGCTTTATTGACAGCTTCCTCTTAGAACAACGTAACAGAGCGTGTGTGTAGCATGTTACATGTCATCTGTGTGGCACACTTTTGCGGGACCCTAGACTTGATTTTATACCCAACAGTCATCCAAAACAGGTCGGGTCTGTTCCACAACTCAGCTGTATTGGCAACCAGGTGAGTTAGGGGATCTATCTTACAGTGTGTGGCTAACTCTCTCTGCAGCTATACTCATATATTGATTTTGTGTGTGAATGTGTGTGTGTATGTGTGTGCATGCGGGCAGGCATGTGAGTTCATCTGAGTTCCTGTGTGTGCCTACTTGACAAGACATCTTGTCATTATCCCCAAAATGAAAACAAATTAATTAACTGAAACCAATCAAAACATGAAGGATGAATGTAAATGCAAATGTAAGCATTTTGTATACTAAGAAATAGAAAAGTCTATTTCAAGCTTCGGATGAAGTTGAATGGGATAGGAGTGAGACTATTTTCTCAAGGTCAGCCTGTCCTAGTTGCACAGTCAGCTCTACTTCTCGTTTGTTCATTGTTGTCACAATGTGCTGTGAATGTCTTTCAAACAGCAAAACTTTTATCTGTTTCACCGTCATAACAGATACCATACCCACTGATACAAATTCAGTCTAGGCATTCTCAGTGTTGCCTTGATGCAATCTTTCCCATAGTTGTGATCTCAAAGGGAAAAGCTTGCAGTTGCATTCTCAAATGACATGGTTTCTGCCCACATTGTCAACCTGTGTTTGTTGCATGATGATATCCTCAGGCACCTACTGAAATAAATACATAATCACCTTGACAGTACCAGTCAGCAATGACCAAGATATACTGTGTAGTCAACCCCAACTTCTGTCTTCTAATTCAGTGAGTCTGTATTACCTTCAGTGAGTCTGTATTACATAGGTTATGGAGTATTTGGTGTCAATAAATGGAAATTGTTGACTTTAGGCTACACATAAGTTATTGTTCTCATTCAAATTAAATTACTTGGATCTAACAGCTAAATATTGAGCTGTACATGTTAAAAGTTCAAACTTTAGACTACCAGCGTTTGCTTTATTTTATTAATTGCAATGGCTGGTAGGCATGAGACGGTTCTGCTGGTTACCTTAGCAACCCTTTAATCTCCACACCAGATTGTTTTCAGTTAAAGGATTTCGATTTGTGGAACGGGGAGTTAGGCGAACCAACAAACACACACACGCACTCACACATACACACACACACACACAAAGGCTCTCCTTAATCTTGTTACAGAGGGAAAGATACAAAATCACTAACTACTAAACAAAAACTGAAAGACCTTCTGTTATGTCTTGCAGTAGCACGTGCCTCTTTGATGTCGACTTCCATGGTAATATGATGACTGTACAGAGTACAGACTAGAGTGTTTCCATGTACTCCATCTCCATCTCCATTACAGAGGAGATAGATCCAACGTGGAGGAGGATGCCTCGTCTAATCAGAGGCATTTCTCTATGAGAGATCCCCTGAGCATGCACCTTTGATCTGACTGACTCGCAGACAGAGGGAAGGAACACAGAAAAGGGAAAAATAAGTGAAAGATGGAGACGGGTGGGTGGTGGAGGTGTGGTGTGGTGGGGTGGGAGGGATAGTGAGCGGCAGAGAAACAGCACAGAACCGAAAGGCTCTGTACTATCCATAATCTGATGTCAGTGTGCTAAACTAAACCTGGGGTGCCGTGGCCGCTCTCCTTTCACGTTGTATATCAGAGTCAAGCGGACCACGTCCCTGCCCGGGGCACAACTCACAGGATGTGGTTATGAGGAGAAATGGATGGAAGAAGGAAATGGGTTTTTGACAGTATTTAGACAGTTTCCTCCTACTGCCCTTTTAAAGAATAATCTTCATTCAGCTGATCACTGATGAATGAATGAACGAACAGGACAGCGGGCACATACGCACAGTACTTACAGTACCTTGCAAAAGTATTCATCCCCCTTGCCATTTTTCCTATTTCGTTGCATTACAACCTGCAATTTTAATTGATTTTTATTTAGATTTCATGAAATTAGACATACACAAAATAGTCCAAATTGGTGAAGTGAAATGAAAGAAATAACTTGTTTCAAAAAATTCTAAAAAATAAATAACTGAAAAGTGGTGCGTGCATATGTATTCACCCCCTTTGCTGTGAAGCCCCTAAATAAGATCTGGTGCAACCAATTACCTTCAGAAGTCACATAATTAGTTAAATAAAGTCCACCTGTGTGCAATCTAATTGTCACATGATCTGTCACATGATCTCAGTATATATACACCTGTTCTGAAAGGCCCCAGAGTCTGCAACACCACTAAGCAAGGGGCACCACCAAGCATGCCGCACCATGAAGACCAAGGAGCTCTCCAAACAGGTCAGGGACAAAGTTGTGGAGAAGTACAGATCAGGGTTGGGTTATAAAAAAATATGAGAAACTTTGAACATCCCAAGGAGCACCATTAAATCCATTATTAAAACATGGAAAGAATATGGCACCACAACAAACCTGCCAAGAGAGGGCCGCCCACCAAAACTCATGGACCAGGCAAGGAGGGCATTAATCAGAGAGGCAACAAAGAGACCAAAGATAACCCTGAAGGAGCTGCAAAGCTCCACAGCGGAGATTGGAGTATCTGTCCATAGGACCACTTTAAGCCGTACACTCCACAGAGCTGGGCTTTACGGAAGAGTGGCCAGAAAAAAGCCATTGCTTAAAGACAAAAATAAGCAAATACGTTTGGTGTTCACCAAAAGGCATGTGGGAGACTCCCCACACATATGGAAGAAGGTACTCTGGTCAGATGAGACTAAAATTGAGCTTTTTGGCCATCAAGGAAAACGCTAGGTCTGGCGCAAACCCAACACCTCTCATCACCCCGAGAACACCATCCCCACAGTGAAGCATGGTGGTGGCAGCATCATGCTGTGGGGATGTTTTTCATTGGCAGGGACTGGGAAACTGGTCAGAATTGAAGGAATGATGGATGGCGCTAAATACAGGGAAATTCTTGAGGGAAACCTGTTTCAGTCTTCCAGAGATTTGAGACTGGGATGGAGGTTCACCTTCCAGCAGGACAATGACCCTAAGCATACTGCTAAAGCAACACTTGAGTGGTTTAAGGGGAAACATTTAAATGTCTTGGAATGGCATTGTCAAAGCCCAGACCTCAATCCAATTGAGAATCTGTGGTATGACTTAAAGATTGCTGTACACCAGCGGAACCCATCCAACTTGAATGAGCTGGAGCAGTTTTGCCTTGAAGATTGGGCAAATATCCCAGTGGCTAGATGTGCCAAGCTTATAGAGACAATCCCCAAGAGAGAGGGGGGGTGAATAGTTATGCACGCTCAAGTTTTCTGTTTTTTTTGTATTATTTCTTGTTTGTTTCTTCAAAGTGGTAGGCATGTTATGTAAATCAAATGATACAAACCCCCCAAAAATCCATTTTAATTCCAGGTTGTAAGGCAACAAAATAGGAAAAATGCCAAGGGGGGTGAATACTTTCGCAAGCCACTGTATGTACTTGATACATTCACGAAGGTCAAAATTATCCTGAGGGCTCTTCGATTCAAGGTGGATTGAATATTATTCTATCATAGGATCTGAAAATAAAATAAACAAGGCCTATAGGAGGATTGTTATGAAACTATAACAGGATTGCCTATGAGTTGTGTAGATAGACAATGCATTGTATTTAGAATATTGAGAATAGGATGGGTTTGTTTGAGGGTCACTAATCCTAAAGTCAATCTCCATTGATGTGCTTTGATGTTTTGGTTCAATACAGCCCCTTAGCTAAAGACACAAGGTGAAACAGCCTGGGAGTTCACATCACAGTGTGAAGGAGTTCTCTGTGTGGGCAAGGGATTTATCTTCCTGGACTCTGTACTGTTAAAATAGAAAGACTCAAAACACCATCATTGTGTAGTAAAATCATAAGGAGTAGTGCACTGAGATCTGGTGTTTGGAGGGTGTTTGAATGTAAACCCAATGTAAGTGTTATGATACACTGAATGTATTTCAAAAACAGTACTCCTGAAATCACCGCAATTGGTTATTCAATCTAGAATATGGTGTTTTCTAAGAGTACCTGAACACCCAAGTGTCTCAATGAATAACACTAAAGAGGTTGTGAAAAATTTTGGTGTTTCAGTGCATGTAAAAGGCAGCATCAAAACACAAAAATAATGTTTTGTTAGACTGTGTCTCTCATTCAATCAAATGGCTTTACATTTCTAATGGTTTATAGCATAAATATTGATTGCTAATTTTCAGTCAATATTTTGATTTAACATTTTAAAGACTGGGTAATTAATATTTTTCCTAGGGTAGACTTTGGGACTTGTTATAGGCTACAGTTGCCAGGCCCATTGTGAGATTATAAATAATGTTACAATCAAAATGTTTAGGGCTATGTAAGTTATAGCAGAGGTAACGTGTAAAGTGGGCCTTCATCACTGGTATTCATGTGAGAAGGTGGATGTGAAACATCGCCTTAGTTCATTTTAACAGTGTGGAAGGTTATATGAGATCAAAGCAGGAGGACTGTGGGTTATTTCAATGGCTGCAATGAACCAGGAATGTCCTTTTATTGTGGTTGTTGGAAGGTTGTTTTTGGTTTGGAGGGGGCACACAGGATAAGTGACTCAGTGGTTGGGATAAGACTCTCTTTCACCCTTAATTTATTTTTCTCTCATTCTCTCCTCTTAGTTTCACAATTATTACATGATTCCACTTAATTTGCAGTTTAAGTAATAGCTCACAAACCAATATTGTAAAATAACACAGCCATCTATTCACCCATAATTACTGTGGGATGAACTAATGACTGACAGCTTTGATCAGCTCCCTTTTTGCCTTTGAATGTCAGTTCAAACACTTTCTCTGGTGCCTGTTTTCAAACTAAAGTAATCTATTCTGCAAGCAGAAGTAAAGTCCACGACCGAAAGGAGGAGATTACAGTTCACACACATTC